TTCGAATGATGCATTCCAGTTAAGGACGTTCCAAAAGTATCGAATAACCTTCCCACCCTACCCCCCCTTCAATCCCTCAAACCCCTTAACATCAGCTAATCTACAATTTAATCCATCTCCGAAACAAATCATTGAATCCAACCAATCAGCGTTCAAACATATGTGTGTCAGTATGTTCGGTCTCCAATTAAAATTCAGTTGGGCAAACATTTTATTCGATGTTAATCATTTTTTTAAAGACGAACCAAATACGATTTTTAATGAAAATGAAAAATAGATAGTACTAATTATAATTACGTAACCTTTGTAAATATTAATAAAACATAAACGATTCTCAATTATTTCTCGAATTTTTCTCTATTTGGTTTTTCTTATTATTTCTTTCTTTTTTTTTATATATATATTTAACGTCCACGAGAGATTCGTTAAATTCCTATTAAAATAAAAAAACAATAAAAATATAAATAAAACTACGATCCACAAAAGATATTTATCTTGAAAATACTGCACGTAGTCTCGATAAAATAAATATGTAGATGTATATTTGGTTCGTTTATAAAGATGACCAAGCATCGTTGTTCTCATAACTGCTACTTTATTGTCGATCGAACGATCACGTATAGCACACAATACGTCGTACATATTTATCGGGGTGTCAACGAGCCATTATATCTCGTCTAACAATCTTCCTCTTTTCTCTTTTTATGCTCTATCATAGTCTCCTCTTTATATTTCCTATCACGAAATATTTATTTCTTCGAAAATTCATATAAACGTGTGTAATCAAATTATTGGATCGTACAGAAAATTTCACCACGTCAATTTTGCGTTTATATTTTTCATGATAATTCGTATATAAAAAATAAACGTACACAAAAATATTAATCAACAAATTTTTCTTTTTTTAAATCCATATCTATTAATTCTTATAAATGTAACAACCAAAAAAAAAAAAAAAAAGAAAAATAACGAAACACAGGGAAAGTTGTTTCGTACGTCGTGCGCAAGATGCAATGCGCAAGCGGGAAAATATGAAATTGAATCCTTTTATCGAAAGAATCGCTGCGCTTGCATACACAA